ATATATATATATAAATAATCTGAGGATGATCATTCTCAAAGAAGCAGAATATTCCATAAAAGCTCTGGGAGATGTTTGAAAAAAAAATTAACAACTCAAAATGGTTGAACATCTTGTGAGTTGAACATGACCCAAGGTATCAAATGAAAAAATGTTTCTGCAGGCTTTAACCTACACAGCAATTAAACATATTATCAATTAATTGTGCTCCTTATTAGTGTCATAAGCCTTTGTGTCTTCATTAATCAAAATTGCAAACAAAGCACTTCTCTAACATTAAACTTTAAACCCCCTAACATGCTATACGCTTCAATGTCCGCACTGATACACAATGACGAGCTGCAGACATGCCCTTTTGAAAACAACAGCGTCTGAGTGCTGTAGAACAGCTCGAGTCAACCTCCCAGCGCTTCTAGTCACATATTCACAGATAACACTCATTACTCATGCAGAGATTCTGAATCAGTCTGCGGGGAATATGTGCTAAACTAATTCTGACTCTCAGAGCTCAAAGAGAACATGTCATAAATAAGTAAAGGTCTGTTCTCTCGCTCTCTACAGACAGCGGGACCCACCTGTACTCTTCCTCGGTGAAGATGGGAATCCTGGAGGGCTGAAGCACAGTGATTTCCACTGTAGTTCTGTTCGTCTTCACCGGCTCTCCATCGTCATAGGCAATCACCACCAGCTACGAGACGAGATAATGAAAAATACATTAAAAAGCAGTTCATATAGGCAATGACTTGTGTCGGAATTTGAATTTATTCATTTAATGTGGGGCATAAAGTAAAATGTCTAGGAATAAGACGTAGTGGAGCTTAGATATACAGTATTAACTTCAAAAACTTTTGTCTGTCACATCATTTCTAAAGTCGTAGAGCCAAGATTTTCTTTTTAAATCAAATATTTTGTCTTTTTCATGACATGGTTAGTTCAGTTTTTTAAATGTAAATGCAAGAAAACGTCTCAGGTTACGTATGTAACCATAGTTCCTCGAAGGAACGAGACGCTGCGTATGAAAACGCTAGGGGAACGCCCTTCAGCGTGACCGGCTCTGAACCTCATGTGTAATCAGACCAATAGATGGGCGAGACGTCACGGGCGGGTGACGTAATGACCAGGAGGCTATAAAAGCACATGCGGTGAGACCAGCGTCAGCTTCCAGGAATGAAGCAAGCGCTGGCAGAGATGCCGAAAGTAT